CAGGAATTGTTTTTCAGTAAAGATAGCTTATCTGAGTAAAGAAAATCACATTCAACATCAAACTGTACAAGCTACCCCAACAGATTCTACCCTGGCACCTCTGGAGCCACCCCTGTTTTCACTCTTCCCAAGCAGAAGAGGGAAACTCAAGATTTCTGCTGGTGGACCTCAGATTTAATCAATGCTCACCTGAGGGGAGTAAGCTCTTCTTGATGCTACCCTGTTCTACCTCACCTATCACACCTCCAGCTTTGAATTCTGGGCATTCTGAGCTAACCTCAACACTGGTAGCTCCATCCCCATTCAGTTCCCCTCAAGCCTGGCCCATGTGCTTCTACTCATGTCTTTGCAGCAGCTCTGAACTATTTCAGCATGCTAAATCATCAGGAAACTATCTCAGGCAAAGTGCATAGTTTCATGCCAGCTTTGTGCTCCGGACAGGTTTAGTTTAAGGTCAGACAAGCTCACAGCTTGAACACAGGGCAAGAGAGGTAGCAAAGCAAGCCTGTAAAGTCAGCAGATAAATTGGCTTAGGTTGCCAAAGAACTGGATCGTCAGACTTTTCAGGACTTGAGATCTTGGTGGACAACTTGCTAAGTTTTCAGTGTTGACAATGTATTTGAATTGTGTACATGGACGATCTGTACACATACCTGGAGCAACAGCTGAGCAGAAACTATCAGTTAAAGAGAGATATTAAAAAAAAAAATAAAATAAATTTGGCAATTAGTTGAATTTCAGGTAGGATTCAAGCCTAATAGACATCCCCCAGATGACTGATCTACAAATGCTATTCACTATGGCCACTGGATAGAGGCAGAAGTTTTTGGAGAGATGTCAACAAAGCTTTACCTTCTGACAGCTGACCCTCCTGTTTCCCTTTTGCTTCTCACATCTCCTCAGAGCACAAAGCCTGTTAGCTTCTACTTTGCTGTCCAACATCAGCTTCTTTGCATAACTGGAAAAATCCGTGCCTGTATTTCTTATTTTGTGCAGAATTTTTAAACTGTCTTTAAACAAAAGAAGCACTGTTCACATAATGGCAGCTTTGACTAACATTTTGAAGTTCAATTAGAAGAAAGCAAAAGGATGCCTCAGTTTTGGCAGTTTCCGATTTCTTTACTCATTTTCAGCTTTGGCATTTCAGATTTTTCAAAACATTGGCAATTTTAGAACTGCCTATGTGGTTTTTGGGAGAGTGGAGGAAGTAATTAATTATAACAGGAGTTAGCAGTAATCCTATAGTAAACCAGTATTTTCCACTAAAGGATTTTCCTTTATGAGATGCTTTGCTAACGCCATTTTTGTAATTGGTAACCAAAATTTAGAGTCACCTGAAGAGTGAAAAGACTCCCCCCTAACTGGATAGGGCTCTGTATTATTGAAAATAAATATATAAATTCACCCTATAATTTGCTGCACTCTTCAGAAAATTCAGGTAGCTCATCAAAACAGATAAGCACAAATGAAAGAGTTCCACGTTGCCTTAAACAAGGCAGCTGGATCATCTCCCAGCAGCTGGAAACTGTGGAACTTGTGGAACAAGACAGGGATGGTGGGAAGAGGACCAGCATCACAACTCTGCTCCACCTTCCTACTGTAATCCCAGATCAACAGTCAGGCAATATCCTGATTTTCTTCCTCCCACTGCTTAAAAACAAAAAATAAAGTAGGGATTTGACAAATTCCAAAACAGCAGAAGAGCATTGGGCTGAGTTTTTCCATCTAACTTCCTGAATGCAGCAGATACCATCGTTATCCTATATACTGTGGCAAAATAGCTTTTTCCAACTCCTATCCACTAACTCTACAGCATCAAAACCTGCTGTAGTACTCTCTTTGTAGTGTCCCATAGTGCTTGTTCCACAACAAGCCTTTTAACAGAGCCTGTTTATAGGTATATACTCAATCACGGACCACGACTCAAAGGCCTCATGAAATACTAAGTCAATTGTACCCCAGAGCTTTGCACCTCTATGTTCTCCCCTCCCACAGCACTCATCCTTGGGGCAGCCAAAGTGGTGCTTCACACCTAGCTTCACAGCCTTGAAGAAGAACCTCCAAGCATACGAAGTTGGTGGGTATGCAGGAGGAAGGAAGCAAAGGCAGTCTTTAGGCTGCGATGGCTATTTGAAAACTATGCCATTAACTGTGCACAGCACCTGCCATGATTAAACACGAGAAACAGAGCAAGGCTAAAATGCCTTAGAGCTACTAATGATTCATTACTTTGGAGTCCAGCTGCTCTAAAAAATGGAGATAATATTTTCCATACCAGAAAATATTATAATGGGAGCTAGTTGTTATTCTACTACAGAATTCCCCTTCCTTCCTTCTCAAAAGCTCTGTCTATGCCATTTTTGCAACAGGCAATTGCAAAACCCTCCATGACTTACTTCAGAGAACCATGTGACAATCTCGGTTCTAAACTGAACTTAATCTGTGAACTTAGATTTGGTTCTACAGAGTGCTCCACATAATCTTTGAGCGTAAGTACTTACTGATGCAAAGGCCAAATCTATTCCGGTGTCAGAAAAAAATCCTGCAGATACTCTACTTTATGTACACAACAACCACCCTCACTCCCAACCTCATGCAATGTCTGTCTTTGAAAAAGAAAAACCACAACTCAACTTGAGGGGGATATTTTGAAGGAATTTTTTTCAGGGTGGTAGTTTTTTTTTTTTTTATATAATTTTTTTGTTTACATTTGTAATACATTGGACAATACGTGACAGTAATCATTCTCTTTTTCCCCTCAAAAAAAGTGTATTTAGTGCTGGAAGCCTGAATTTTTGTCATGTAAATAAAACCAAACCAAAACACTATCCATTCTACTGAACTTCTTAGAGCTGAGTTTATTTACTGAGAGGAAAGCATAATGATTTCATGGAAACTGCAGCAGGTACTTTACAGATTTGTCCTCCTAATGATCTATACTACTACTTGCAATACTCATTTGGATGTGTTGAAATGTCAACCAAGCCAAGTTTGCTTTTCTAAAACCATGTATTAAAATTGTTACCAGTCAGAAGTGTTTTATGACACCAATATTTGAAAGATTATATATAAAGTTACATCATACATGAAGTCACATATATAAAATCTTCTTTGTATTATAATTATCCTTTACCTAATTACCTAAAATAGGACAAATTTAAGAAAGTCATTTAGACTGCACACCCAAATACCTGAAAGAGACAAATTACTCTGTTTTGTTTGCCTGTACCACCTTAATTCCTCACAGGTTTTGCAATGATTGAAGCAACCACCTCTTGGGAAAAGAAAGCAATCATAATTAAATGCTATAGAGCAAGATGAAAGGGGATTCATTAAATGTGCACGACAGAAATAAGTACAACATTTCCTAGTGGCTAAACAGAAAAACCAGAAACTAAAATTACATTAGTTTGATACAGTTGAAAAACCCAGTGAACTTAACTGTGATTATGTTAAAAAGAAAAGCAAGAATCCCACCGTACACCAACCAACTTTGAGCCTTGAGTGTTCAAGACCAGGCAATCTGCTGACACTTGAGCAACCTGTTCAGCTGATGGCAGCAAGTGACACATTCCCCCCACTGTGGGCTGACCCCAGCGAACAGCTAAGCCTGCATCCAGCTGAGTGCTTGCTCCCTGCTCCTATGGATGCAGAGAAGATGGAATGATGGTGAGGAGACTCATGGGCGGAGGTAACGACAGTTTAATAGGGAAAGTAAAAGCTGTGTGCCTAAGCAGAGCTGAAAAAAAGGATTGATCCACTGCTTCCCATCAGCAGGCAGGTGTTCAGAAGCTTTGTGGAAAGCTGGGTCTCAGCATGCCTGTCATGGGCTTGGGAATTGGAAGACAAATGCCACAGCCACATTTGTCACACAAAAGTCACCACCCTCCTCTGCCTCCTTCCCCACCCCAAGCACCATATCAGATGGTACAGAATAGCCTGTCTGTACCATTCTGGCCAGTCTGGGTTGGCTGTCGAGCCAGAGGAAGCCTTTATGGAGAGGCTGGACTTAGCCTATGAAGCCCAGGGTTACATGTTAGATGGCAGTTGTCATCTCTGCTCCCTCCTGCTGCTACTGCAGCCGTCCCATTGCAATCTTGCTATTGCTGCTTTAGCAGCAGCAAAACCTGCTCTTACAAACCCCATGGCTTACTGGAGTGCAAGCAACAGCAGGAAACAGTGATTTAAACCTGTGGAATTCCATGAAACAATGAAAAAGACACATTCTCGACAGAGGACTTTGTCCAAACTAATTTCAAAGACTGACTG